TGATAACAAGCATGTGAGTGACAAACCTGGTTTTAAAGTTCAGTCTGAGCCCAGAGGAAGGAGTGGAATCCAGCCGGATGATTATTCACAGCAGGAGACAGACGGCACTCAGAGAGTTCCAGGAGCCGAAGCAAAGAAAGCTGCAGAGCCAGCTGATGAGCAAAGCCAGCAGATGAGGGAGAGCAGGAGTTTCCAGAAGGAGAAGTCAAATCAGAGATCTGAAGAGGTACTGTAAGGAAATCCAAGCTTGGGTCAGAAGACAGATCCAAGGTCGTAAGCAGGCCTGATCCAGCAGGGGTCCGGAGACAGATCAGGAAAACAGATCAAAACAGGGGCAGGCAAGCTCAGAGGTCCAAGGGCAGAAACTAGTCAGGTTATCAGAACAAACAAACTGGGTATGCTAGAGAACTCTCATCTACGGCTCGAAAAATCTGGCACTGATGGCTGGGACCAAACTGTTTAAGTAGAAGTTTGAAGGAATGAACCAATAATACAGTCATCAGTGCCAAGATCATGACAGTTACACCTCATTTTTGAGCGACAAGCCTGTTATCTTTGTAAGTAGGAGGGAAAATGACATAAGGTTAAAGCAATGCAATAAATTATGAATTACATCGTATTTATTATCCTCATATGAGTTATTGGCTCCAAGCATTAATTTGAATTTTATGAAATAATTCAAATCTCAATTCTTCGGAAAATTATTTTTCCTCTACATTACTAATCATATTATTGATGTTTTAAATGTGGAATGAATGGCTTAGTCATTAGAAAACTTTACTTAGAGTACTTACTACATGCATTCGTTCTTTTTGTGGCCTAAATCTGTGCTTCTTGACTCCATGTAAAGGTCCACAGCATCCTGTATGGAAAAGTGCAGTGTTGCATAACTGATTTGAATACCACAATGAAAAATTGTTTTGTCCTGCTGCAGCCTTAAAGGAGACAAGCCGTGTAATTGGCAGAGACGGAACCTGTCTCAGCTGTCTCCAAGTCATTCAGTCAGAAAACAAACAAGTAGGGTGCACAACTCTCAGTTATGGAAATAAAAAATATCACCAGAGTATGTTATGTAATAATAGGGCATTTTATATGGTCTAGGATTGTCCTTACTTGGAGGAAATTTATTATGCGACTCACTTGTTTTTGTAACTTGGGGTGGGATGTTGTGTGAGTATTTATTTTTATTTTTTAAATGATTTGAACAGCTTTTAATTTGTTTAGAGACAGAATTGAATTTATCTATGACGTTTCTTCTCTAAGTCTGTTACACATTTTAACTTATAAAGAATAATGTTTTATTGATGGTAAAAATGCAATCAAAATTTTAATTAATTTTGCACTACCTTTGTTTAAATACATAAACTATTGTATATTGAAACTATGGCTCTTACATTTTCCGTATTTTTTTATGTTTAGTGATATAAGCCAAATTTTACAAATTAAAAATTCAGTAAAAAGAAAAATATTTCAAGTCTTGGGATGACTGGAAGAAGAAATTTAATTTCTAAAAGATGTTTATACATATAAACTCCATGGAAACCTTTAAGATAATCACTATTTTTATGTCCAAGGAAGACAGACAGAGCAAGGCTGTTCAGAGAGGAGCTTTGTTATTACACACTATTGTTATGAAAGTTGATACACTGCAAAAAATATAAATCTCAATAAGTTATTTTTTCTTAAAATAAGTGTGTTTTTCCTTGATTTGAGGAGGTAAGTAAGACACTTTGCCAATGGAACAAGACAATTTCCTTTTAAAATAAGAAAAAACTATTTTATCGTCTTATTTCAAGTAAATATTATCTAACTATCTTATTTTAAGAGTGAAAATACTCATTCCATTGGCAAATCATCTTATTTACCTGCTCAAATTAAGGCTAAATATACTTAATTTAAGCCATTTTTTACTTATTTCTGGATTGTTTTTGCAGTGTAGGAGGCTGCAGATTCATTCTTGCATTAATGTTTTACCTAGACGCCCTTAAGCCTGTGAAGGGAACATCTGTGGGTAAAACATCTTTCTGATGAATCTCAGGCATTCCTTTCAACATCTTTGCGTATGTTGTAAGGAACCATTTTTGATGTATAAAGGAATACAGGGCTTTATGCTGGAATGAAATGTCAGCTAAGTATCCCTTAATAGAGAGAAAAGCGGCTTTTCTTTATTTGTGGGGATAAGTCTTCTTAAACTGGACAAGTCGGCTCATGTATGGAATTTTTCTAAGTGTGAGTCTCTTGGCAAGATTTCACAACTGCAGTATATGTATGGCCACATTCTCTGTAAAAAATATTCATCCACTTTGAACTTTTGCACATCTTGTCATGATGCATTCAGAACCTCCAGTATAGTTTAGTGAGGTTTTTATAGACCTGGCCAACAACAGGGTTATGGAAGTGACAGACAAGGATGCATGTTTTTATTAGTTTTTTTTATTTCTTTTTTAATTTTTTTATGAAATAAAATCTAAAAAGTGTGGTCTATTTGTAGGTATATTATGTAGTTAGATTTTTTGACCACAGGATGGCAGTGTAGAGCCAGAGGAAATGTGTGTGTTTACCTTTTCTTTACCTGTGATTAGTGTCAGCAGGACACCTGTTTGATTCTGCTTGGTCTCGGTTTGCTCATTGTTTGGTGCCAGAGAGATGCTTTTGTCATGTAGGTTTTATTTAGCTTAGAAAATTCTGAATTTTTTTGTTTAATTTTTACAGCTTTTAATTTTCTGAAAGATTGTCTGTGTTATTTGTTAATTTGAATATAATGTAGTTCAAATCATAAGTTGTTTAAGGTACCTAGTATTAGGATTATTGTGTACTGAAGCAAAAATTCCAACTTACATGTTGACTGCTTAATGTCATCAAACTTTTGGATAAACCAAAGAAGACAAAATATGTGTTGCTGAGTGCCCTGTGTTTGGAGAAGAAAAAGAGAAAATAATTCAGCAAGTACGCCATCCTGTTATTAATCCTTAAATTTAGGTAGAAATAGACATGAAAAGTCGACGATTCCTTAAAGTCAAGAAAGTTAAGAAATATGTCAGAAAATAGAGGGCGATCAGTTCAGCTACATTCTAAAGGTTTGGATTAAAGCACATTTAGGTTGGAAATCATGTCCCCCAAAAAACTCCAAAACAAGTCTAAAGATGAATCTGTGGTAAGAGTGTAAGTTACATTTTTGTATATGTTCTACTCTGTTCAAACTGACACTTTTTGTCTATCTAAAAAAAAAAAAAAAAAAAAAAAAAAAAAAAGGTTCAAATACATGGTTCTACATGTTATTTAATTAAGAGGACTGAATACAGATCTGCCTAATTATGAAAAATTATTGAAGTTTGTTGTCCGACTTCTTTTTTTAATGCCACTATACTCTTTTTCAGCACCCTTATCCTTATTTTTCTGTTACATTCATGTAAAGCACTTCGAATTGTCTTTTTACTGGAGTGTGCTTTACAAAAGAATTTCCCTGCTATTGATTAAAAATGTTATCTATTTACCGTACTTAAAAAATGGTCATCAAAGCACAAATAATTTTTCCCTCCAAATGTTTAGTTCAAACAGGACAATTTTTAAGTGCCCAAAACATGTATACTGTGTATGTACACTCGCCGGCCACTTTATTAGGTACCCCATGCTAGTAACGGGTTGGACCCCCTTTTGCCTTCAGAACTGCCTCAATTCTTGGTGGCATAGATTCAACAAGGTGCTGGAAGCATTCCTCAGGGAGTTTGGTCCATATTGACATGATGGCATCACACAGTTGCTGCAGATTTGTCGGCTGCACATCCATGATACGAATCTCCCGTTCCACCACATCCCAAAGATGCTCTATTGGATTGAGATCTGGTGACTGTGGAGGCCATTTGAGTACAGTGAACTCATTGTCATATTCAAGAAACCAGTCTGAGATGATTCCAGCTTTATGACATGGCGCATTATCCTGCTGAAAGTAGCCATCAGAAGTTGGGTACATTGTGGTCATAAAGGGATGGACATGGTCAGCAACAATACTCAGGTAGGCTGTGGCGTTGCAACAATGCTCAATTGGTACCAAGGGGCCCAAAGAGTGCCAAGAAAATATTCCCCACACCATGACACCACCACCAGCAGCCTGAACCGTTGATACAAGGCAGGATGGATCCATGCTTTCATGTTGTAGACGCCAAATTCTGACCCTACCATCCGAATGTCGCAGCAGAAATCGAGACTCATCTGACCAGGCAACGTTTTTCCAATCTTCTATTGTCCAATTTCCATGAGCTTGTGCAAATTGTAGCCTCAGTTTCCTGTTCTTAGCTGAAAGGAGTGGCACCCGGTGTGGTCTTCTGCTGCTGTAGCCCATCTGCCTCAAAGTTCGACGTACTGTGCGTTCAGAGATGCTCTTCTGCCCACCTTGGTTGTAACGGGTGGTTATTTGAGTCACTGTTGCCCTTCTATCAGCTCCAACCAGTCTGGCCATTCTCCTCTGACCTCTGGCATCAACAAGGCATTTCCGCCCACAGAACTGCCGCTCACTGGATGTTTTTTCTTTTTCGGACCATTCTCTTTAAAACCTAGAGATGGTTGTGCGTGAAAATCCCAGTAGATCAGCAGTTTCTGAAATACTCAGACCAGCCCTTCTGGCACCAACAATCATGCCACGTTCAAAGTCACTCAAATCACCTTTCTTCCCCATACTGATGCTCGCTTTGAACTGCAGGAGATTGTCTTGACCATGTCTACATGCCTAAATGCACTGAGTTGCCGCCATGTGATTGGCTGCTTAGAAATTAAGTGTTAACGAGCAGTTGGACAGGTGTACCTAATAAAGTGGCCAGTGAGTGTATGTATGTATATGCATATATATATATACATATACAAATAAGTTATTTGTAATATATACTGTCTATAATTTGCAGGTCTTATGTTTAGTCAATACTTACTGTCTGCATTAGAGACAGTAAGTATTGACCCTTTAGTCAAAGGTGTGTAAACCTGTATTGTTTCCTTATTTCTTTTTGCAGAGCACAGAGCAGGTCGCTAATTTCTGTCGCAATCTTCATGACATGAATACCCAGGAGTGCCCAATGTCATCCTCCTCCTCCTCGTCTTCATCGTCCCTGTCACCGAGCCCAGTGTCGGCTTTGGCCCCAGCTGCTGGCACTGCAGCCCAGCGGCAGCTCTCTCACGCTGACAAACTGCGCAAAGTGATCGCTGAAGTGGTGGAGACGGAGAAGACGTATGTCAAAGTGAGTCCTGCTTTTTAATTTTTGTTAAAGCCTCCCAGATATGTCGGCTGTGTTTCATTACTGTTCACATACCACCTGGGGTGTGGCATTTGCAACCGTACTACTCTCATTCTACTTGCCATACTCTTTTAAAAACCATTTTAAGCTGTACACTTAAATATTAAATTCCATTTGCCTGCTTAAACATCTGTTCATCAACCAATCTTATTCCTGTTTCTTATCTTTTGCAGGACCTGCTCTATCTTATAGAGCGCTACTTGAAACCTTTACAGAAAGAGAGCTTCCTATCACAGGATGAGGTACTCACACGCTTCTTATTGTATAGCAAGAATAACGACGCTCAGGATATGTTTGCAGATATTAAAGGAATAGTACACCCAAAACATGATTAGCCTTCATTTTCTACTCACCCCCAAGCTGAACAACACTCTGGAGTACTTTTTTGATATCTCAAATGCATCTGGAGATCTGGGAGGCTTCTTGCTGTCTGCTGACATTCAAATAATGGAGGTCTATGGTGCCCGAGACAGATAGGTCCATAAAAGTCCACAAAAAACGTGTCAATATTCCTCCGTACTGCTAGTCCAATGTATTCTAAGTGTCCTGAGTGGGTAGCATCCAGAATTTACTCGAAACGAAGTCATTTAGAATGTTTTTAGAGCATAAACAGTAGTGTATAGGATTTCCTGAATGCGCGCACATGCGCGCTCACGACGCTACGGAAGCCAGCAGACCAAACCAGATGAAAGTGCGCATTCAGCTTCTGCTCTGCCGATAATGCAAGCGTAGAAGAAGAAATGTGCTGTTTACCTGTGCAAAGAAAGAAACAACGAAAGAAAAATGTCTGAGGACTTCAGTGTTGAGGAAGAGCATGAGTTCTTTGCCGAGCTGAATGCGCACTTTCATCTGGTTTGGTCTGCCGCGGTTTCCGTAGCGTCGTGAACGCGCTTTCAGGAAATCCTATACACTACTGTTTATGCTCTAAAAACATTCTAAATGACTTCGTTTCGAGTAAATTCTGGATGCTACCCACTCAGGACACTTGGAATACATTGGACGAGCAGTATGGAGGAATATTGACACGTTTTTTGTAGACTTTTATGGACCTTTCTGCCTCGGGCACCGTAGACCTCCATAATTTGAATGTCAGCAGACAGCAAGAAGCCTCCCAGATCTCCAGATGCATTTGAGATATCAAAAAAGTACTCCAGAGTGTTGTTAAGCATGGGGGTGAGTAGAAAATGAAGGCTAATCATGTTTTGGGTGTACTATTCCTTTAAGATACCTTTTGGTAGATGCATTGAAGCAAATTAAAAAAACATAAAGAAACTCTATGTAGCTATGTTTTCTATTGCCAAAAAAAAAATAAAAAAATGAATTTACAAATCAGGATTAGACATAATAGTGTATTGGAGCATTGGAGATGGACATTGAATTTCATCACTTTTAAGCGTCATCGGTTGGGGAGTATTTGAAAGTATTTGAAAAAGGTCAAATTCACAACAATTCTGCAAGACTGGGATTTCTGTTGACTGTTAAATCATATCACAGAACAGGTCCATTTTGTATACCATGGCAGCCATCCTGTTTTCTTGCTTTTTCTATTGGCATAGAGGGAGAGAATGGGCTGGGAAAATGATTTGACAGCTTTTAAGGTTCATTGTGCAAAGCAGGTTGAATCCTTATATGGTAGTACTTACCGAATTCTCATTCTTTGTTTAAAGCTTGATATTTTATTTGGCAACCTCGAAGAGATGGCGGAATTCCAGATGGAGTTCCTGCGAACACTAGAGGATGGAATCAGGCTGGTTCCACATCTGGACAAACTGGAGAGGGTGGACCAGTTCAAGGTGAACTGTTTTTCCCTACAAACTGAAAAAAATCTTTGGATGTGTTTTTCCCGCATTGTAAGATTTCTTTTAGTTAATGCAAATGTTTATAGAATAGGAAAATTAAAAAATCCCTTTATTCTCCCACAATGGGGAAATTGTGATGGTAAAGCAGCAGCAAAAGATTATAGCAAAAGTGAACACACAAATGTGGACCTTAAAAAAGTTTATAAAATTAACAGAATAAGTGAAAAAGTTAAGAAAACAAATACAATACTTTTTTTTACAACATAAATACTGTGCATCTAGACACAATTATTGTGTATTTTCCTTTAATATTTCATATTCTGTTAGTTAAGTGAAAGTATTCAATTAAAAGAAGTTATTTAACCTTTCCATTAAATTGATAAATGCCGTATTAAGAAATTTCAGTTGAGTTGACTTGCTAGGGGAAAACTCTCAGGGTTTAAACACATAACCAAGACATGGAAAAAAAGAAAAAACTAATTATTGCAGAACTAGCCAGAAAAATAAACCCTTAGTGATGCAAACAACATTTACAAAAACCACACTCAGCACAGCTTAATGAGATCTGATGAGCGGGCAAAGCAAGTTTCCTTCAAGCAGAGGATTTCTGTAATTTTGGTTAATTACTGTCTTAGACAGTTCGATTTAAATTCAAAATTACTTTATTAATCCCAAAGAGGCTGCTATTCCTATAGATAGCTGCTTTTTCCTGTGTTAAACTAGGGCCAATCAGCCAATCCCTTTGACTATATTTGTGATTTGAAACCCTCTGGAATATAATCTGTGTCACAAAAGTTGGAGAATTTGTATCGAATCAAATAATAAGTTTCCAAATGAAGCCCTTTCTATTTACTCAAATCATCCGGTTTATTATAGCTACATCAAAGATGCATTGAAATTCTTATGGCTGTTTGCAATAACACATTTTTAGACTACCCAAATAAAAAAATTTGAATCATATTAGGTGACGTTTCATGTGCTGGCCTGTCTCTGCAGAAGGTGCTGTTCTCTTTGGGTGGGTCATTCCTGTACTACGCTGATCGATTCAAGATCTACAGTGCGTTTTGTGCCAGCCACACTAAAGTTCCCAAGGTCCTGGCAAAAGGTAAAAAAAAACAAACAGTCCTCCTCAGTGTTGAGCACAATTGCAGATCTCAGACGTTTTTTACGATGACATACTGTAGCACTGCTATGGTTTATTGCCTTGTACAGTTTATTTGTGGTTTTTGCTGTACAATTAAAAAATACCTCTTGTTCCACTATTTTTAGCCAAAACTGACCCAGAGTTCAAAGCTTTCCTGGCTGAGAGAAACCCCAGACAGCAGCATTCATCCACTCTGGAGTCTTACCTAATCAAACCCATCCAGAGAGTGCTGAAATACCCGCTTCTGCTCCGAGAGCTCCACTCTCTCACCGACAAAGAGAGTGAAGAACACTACCACCTGGACGGTAAGATGATGCTTTTGTTTTTTCTTATTTTCCAAACACCTTTTAACACTGTGAAACGGTCTCACATAATCTATGCCCCTCACTGTTTAGAACAGTAATTGATTAGGACACATCTAATGAACTTCTGTCTCATCCAGTTGCAATGAAAGCCATGAACACAGTGGCGAGTCACATCAATGAGATGCAAAAGCTTCACGAGGAGTATGGAGCAGTTTTTGATCAGCTCATTAATGAGCAGACAGCAGATAACAAAGAGGTAACTTATTCTGTTCTGTTACCAAACTGGTATTTTATGACTTGCCAAATTAAAAACAATTTGATTTATTTATTTATTTTTTTAATAAAGGTGCTTGATCTCTCAATGGGTGATCTGCTGCTGCATTCAACAGTGGTTTGGATGAATGCTCCAACACATATCAGCAAGAGCAAAAAGGACCCAGAATTAGCTGCTTTTGGTAAGGTTTAAGCAGACTTTTGAGTGATCATTTTTTTTCTGAATGTATAAAATATGCAATGAATGCCATAGCACAGGTAAAGGACAGAAAAAAGGTCTATGCAGCAGGAATAACTGCTTTATTATTTAGCCTCTTCTATGCGGTAAACCAGCTCTAAAGTGCCCAGATGTAAAATAATAAAATAAAACAAAAATGAAAAACCATGTTTTCTTTTTGACGAATATTAGATAAACATATTTAATGGATTTTTTCATGTGAGTAGAGGTAGCTGCTCTGACCGGTCTTGGAATATATAAAAAAAAAAAAAAAAGGTTTATCTGGTTATTTTTGGCTCATATACAAGTAATTTATTTTTTATTTCCTTTTTAATGCTAATAAAAGTATTCCTTTTTTATCCTATATCAAACAGTCAACGAATTAAATAATATAATGAAATGCGCTTTGATTCACGCTATGCTCTTATTTTTTTTGGCCTTTGTCTTACAGTGTTTAAAACAGCAGTTGTGTTTGTCTACAAAAACTGCTCCAAACACAGGAAAAAAATTGTAAGTACTCCAAGTTTTATGTTTTTTGGGAGGGGTTAGGTATAATTAAAAATATATACTTTGTAGATGATAAATTCCACGCCTGCCCAAAAACATTGGATGTTGCAAAGTTAATACTTTTTTTATTTAATTCCCAAAAAACTGAGACATAACTGAGGCCTTTGTATTGAAATTAATACACTCCATGTGCAGTTTTGGCTATTTGAAGACAAGGATAAATGGAAATATTGAAACCAGAATTGTTTGAATCCTATAATGCATCCACAGTACATAGGAACTGACTCCTTCAACTACTACCCTCCATTTACTGTGACTTCCAACCATTTTAGCATTTTTATACCTATTTATTCATTTAAATATGAACATGTTCAGTACTTTAAGCGCAAGCTGGTTTTGACTTCTGCTATTTTTAACCACCAAAAAGTCATTGCTGTTGATGCCACCAAGCAAACAGCTTAGTGAGTGGTGACCTCCTACTCTTTAATATGCAGACAGATTTCTCCTGCTCATCTAACAATGCATCAATAATTTAAATATAAAAAGCAGAGAAGGATTTTTACTCTTTCAGCAAGAGCAAAAAGGTCCCAGAATTAGCAGTGTTTGGTCAGATTTAAGCAGACTTTTGGGCAATGCTTTGTTTCCTGAATGTATGATATATACAGTTCATGCCATACCACAGAGTAAAAATAACCTACATGCACAGGACAAATAAAAGTATGCACCAGAAGGCACAGTTTTATTATTTTGCCATTTCTATGCTTTAAATCTCTGCCTATCAAATCTCACTCTGCTCCAAAATGCCCAGATGAAGGATTTTTAAGGCAAGGAAATGAAAGGTAAGTTTATTTGCATAGCACAATTCAGTATATAGACATTTCAAAGTGCTTTACAATAATTAGATAATAAAATAAAAGAAAAATAAAAGAAGAATCAAAGGAAATAAAGGTTAAAAACTGTATAAGACAACTAAAATAGTTGGAGCACAACCTTAAACTAATAAGACCTCAGTTGACAGTTAAACTTCAACAGTCAAAGGCAGTTCTAAAATAACTCTTTTTTTAACTTTGACTTAATAGAACTCAGGCTTTTGGTACTTTTACAGTCTTCTGGAAGTTTTTTTTCCAGATCAGTGGAGCATAGGAACAAAAGTCTGCTTCTTTGCATTGGGTTCTAGTTCTGGTCGCACAGAGTAGGCTTGAACTAGAAGACCTGAGTAATGTTGGAGGTTGATACACTGACAACAAATCTGTTATGTATTGAGGTGCTGATCTATTCAGTGATTTATAGACTAACAGAAGGATTTCAAGTCTATTCTCTGAGCTACAGGGAGCCAGTGGAAGAGCTTCAGAACCGGACTGATGTGCTCTACTTTTATAGTTCTAGTGAGAACATGGGCAGCAGCGTTTTGGATCAACTTCAGCAGACTCTTTTATATATGTGCAAATTGTGTCATAGAATTTATTTGTCCATTTAGTGCTGTTTAGACATTTGTGGTTTTGTGACCAATTCAGTCATTAAGGAAACGTTGTCAACCTTACTGGTATAGACATTTTGAAAAAAATATCTTTAAGTTTCAGTTTTGCAATATAATTTTGAACAGGTTTCATAATTTCTTATGGTCTCCTATGTTAATAAAATTGTAACCAGGAAACAACCTTCTGTAACATTTTGTCACATATTAACCTGAGTTTAATCAGTTGTTGTAGGTTAAGTTTAATACCTGATAATAGTTTAACTATCAGATGTTATTGTGTGATCTTTTATGGACCTTTTTCTTCAACTGCTCTTTAGAAGGTGTGGTAAATTATTCAGAACTGAAAAAAATTGCTGGCTTAATGTTACTTAGATTTACTCTTTTTTCCCTCCTAAAGAATAAAGAGGAAGTGAAAGGAAGGAACCTTCATTATAGAAACCTTTTAAAGGATTACAATAAAAAAGAAAAAAAATATATATATCTCTAGATATGCACATTATTCTAAGCACTATCTATTTTATAAATAATAGAATGTGACAAATGTGGTTGTCAAATAAACCCACAGTATGTTGTTTTAATGTTTTTTTGATTTAAGAGAAACAAAAAAACATGCTTTGTTGATGGATAAAAAAATAGCCAAAAATGGAGACTGCAAAAAAGTGGTAGTGAGGGTTGCTGGTTGGGTTTACTGTATTTACACTTCTGTGTACATTTACAGTCTGATACCTACCAGAAGGTGGCTCTCTTATGCTCTCTGCTGTCATGTCATTGTACTGCAATGTACTGCCATGTATGTATTTATATGATTTGTTGTTTTCAGGGAGGATCCCATCGTACGTCTGTGGCAGAGGACAGGGATCATTCCCGCTTCAGACACATGATTGCAACAAACTCACTGCAAGTTAGAGCTCCTGCAAGTAGGTCAACAATTGGCTGCTTGTAAAAGATGCACCATTAGCTTCAAAAGATACTCTTACCTTTAGACCTAATTCTTTTTATTATTATTTTTATTTCTTTAATGTGTTCTGTGAAGCAAAATTTGAAAAAAAAAAATAAATCTTATAAACTCATATAGGAAAAAACAGAAATAAAAAAAAAGATCATGAAAAAAATAAATAAAAAAACTAATATAAAAATAGATTTGAAAACAAAAACATTCAGAGAAAATGTCAGTTACTTAAAAAAAATGAATTTTTATATGTCCAAAATTGCATTTTGGGATTTAGTTTTTTCCATATTTCCATTTAGAAAAGGGTCTGCTTGGAACAATAATGGAACAAACAAGTGCTGTGCTGTGTGTTGACGTCAAATTCCTTAGTAGTGGACAACTATACAGAACACTTGGCAAGTTTAATGGGTGAAACCCACATGGTTCACTCCTCAACCCAGAAACGCATTTCCCATAAAATTGGTAAATTAAAACACAAATTTCCGTACTTTTGTGTAAGGTTTGTGTTTTACCAGAACAGATTTCTCCTTAAATAAATGGATCATAAATAGATGAAAGAAAAATTGATTTGTTGATAATCTGGATTTCTTTGGAATGGGACATTGTGGAGGTTGGAGGCTTTTGCTGAGGACTGGGTTCCTAAATGTCTTTCCAGTTTAATTTTAAGTTTAACTGCAGACCTCTGTCTTTTGAGCAAAACCCTCTTTAAACAAAGATCTCCCTTTAATCAAAGCAAGTTACGCTTACAGCAGAAGAAGTGTATATTTTATAAGTGTTTATTTTGCTAATGGGTGTGTAACTGAAAATTTTTAACCTGATCACTTTTTGCCAGAATAGGGAGGAAAATAAGTAATATTTAATGTCTAGTCTACACTTAACTGCTTCCAAAACTAATATTGTACTTTGCATATGGTAAATGGAGTAATCCTTTTTATTTAAAATAAGTCACTCTTGAAATGTAAGCATGTATAATTTCTTTTTCAGGTTCTGAAGCCACAGAAGTTTGTGAAATAGTTCACACAAGGTCTGAATCTGAAGGGAGACCTGAAACAACCTTTCAGTTGTGCTGCAGGTATATTTTGTAAAAGAAATTAATTTGCATTAATGGCTTCTGTTAGTTGATAAAAAAGACTTCAAGTCCATCTGTTTCTTGTTTTTCTTTTCAGTTCTCCAGAGAGTAAAAAGGAATTCTTAAAAGTGGTCCAGTCTATTCTTAGGGAGAAGCAAAGAAGACAGCTACTGAAGACAAAGTCTCTGCCACAGAACCAGAAGTACGTTCCATTTGGTGGCAAACGCCTGAGCGCCCTCAAAGGAGCGCGGCCTCTCATGAACAGAGCAGGTAGGTTTACATAGTGCTCTTATTACATCAAGCAATACTTTGCAAACTTCAATGTGTGTTTTTCTTTTTTTTTCTGCTTTCAGCCTCTGCTCCATCACGAACTCTAACCCGCAGAAGCCTGACGAAGAACCTCATCACTATCGATGCTGACCTGGTTTTACATGGCAATAATAACAGTTCGCCGTCCAATCAGCATGAACCTCGTCCATCTCAAAAACCTCAGGCAGAGGACACGGATCGATGGGTGGAAGAGCAGTTCAATTTGGGGCGCTATGAGGACCGTTTTGAAGGCATTGATAGCAGACAGATGAAGGAGACTGACATCTTGAGCGATGACGATGAGTACTGTAAATCTCTTCGATCCCCGTCGTCAGAAGCAGACTCCCTAGAGGCAGGAGTGGAAGGACTCAACTTGAAAAGCAATATGGAGTCTGACAGTGAGAACAAACTGAGTTTAAAAGCGCAACAAACTAAGAAAAAGGAAGATTCAGACTCTTTCGCATCCTGCGGTCTCTCTGTCTCCCGGTATTCAAAGATCGGACCTTTGAAGCAGCAGTGTGCTGCAGAGAAGGACTCAAGCAAGGACCAAGATGATATCTGGGTGAGGCGGGATGTCTTTAATAAAGGGTGTGACAGCGATATATTTTGATAGCATTTTGCAAGAGAAAGAAGGAGGGGGAAAAACTAAGGTCTTCCACTAGATACAGTAACTTGCAGAAGAGTTTGTTTCCTTTAAGGTTTTTCACATTTGCACCCTACAACCAACTCCTGGTATTTTTGGGGGATTTTTTTTAGATGGATATGAAAAGGTGTATAATTGTGAAGTGGAAGGAAAATTCTACAGTGTTTATGACATTTTAAAAAATGTAAATAATGAAAAATGAAGAGGACATTTCTGTTCAGCCACCAGAGTCAGCACTTTGTAAATTCTATCCTACATAACTCTAGGGTTAAGGTTCTGTATTCAATTAGTCACTGCTGATGAGCGTCCCTGTCCCTTCTCTTTTAGTGGGGTTTCATTCAGCATGAATCCAATAGTTTAGTTTTATTTTCTACTAACCAGGCAATTTTCATTTTCTATTCTCGTTTTATGCTACTTCGCTTCTTCGAAACCTTAAAAGGGACATTTATTCATCTGTTCCTCAGCAGCTTTCCCCTAACCATAGTTCATTAAAGACTTTATTTTGCTGTTAATGGGACCTCCTACCTGAGATATGGATCTCAACATTTCTTTCAGAATTCTCATGGACCTCTTCGTTATTTCTAATTAATTTTCTCCTTTTGAGCATGTCAGATTAAATGGACAGTCTAGGTGTGGTTTGTTTGCAGCTGATCCATGCTCTTAAAGTTGGTGAATATTAGATCAAATGCATACACACAGACCAATTCCACATTTAAACTTCTCCATTATTGCAACCTGGCTGCTGTTATTTTTTATGGTCTTCATGATGCTTTATTTTAACAATCCCTTCATGCCTTTATAGGATTCTATTTGTCAATTAGGTAATTAAAGGCAAATGGTTCAATATCCTTGTAACAAGGGTTCTCATGGTAGAAATGGCTGAATAAAAATGCTACACTTCCATTTTTTTTTATCAAATTCATAATTTTCCTTCCATTTCATGAACTAACTTTATATTCAAATTTTAAGAAATCCCAATAAAAAATGGATGTAAAAAAAAAAAAAAAAAAAACTCTTCAAGGTAAACACAGAATTGTGAGAAATATAGGAGGTTTGGGTACATCCTTTAAGAGGAAGTGTAAAGTCATCTTTGATCCTAACCACTCTACTGAACCTCGCCCTTTTTGACAATCCTAACTTCCCAAAAGATGCTCTGCAGTATCTTGCACCCCTAGGGTGTCAACCAGAACTGCTTTTTCTAAAACTGCAACAGAGAGCCCACACTGTACCCTCACAAACTACTGGCAATCATCTAAATATAAGAGCATTTTTTGTACATGCATGATAAACAGGGTGTGTCTTCATACACTGCAAGAGCACATCATATGTAGACACAGGCAGCTACCGTCTCATCACACACACCCCGAACACCCAAGAGAAGTCCTCACTGAACTGTGACTCTCTGACCAAAAAATGTCTATTTTTCAACACAGGAATGTGGGTGTTATATATATTTTTCTGACTCAAAAAGCTGCATTTGTATTTGACCACCTAAGGGCTGTGTGTTACTGAGCTTTCCTTCAGGGTATGTTAGCTGAATAGCTGCTTTATAAAAGTGAGGTCCAACTAGCTTTATTGTGCTTTTTAAAATTGTTCTAAATTAATATCAGTTGCACATCACTATATAGTTAGAAGTAATAATAGTGCTGTTCTCCTGTTGTGCAAAAAATGTTGTGAAGCTCACTTTGTCTATAATATACTTTTTAAAAACCGCTATGAAAAGCATTTTTTCACATTTATTTAATATTGCCTTTTTGAAAATTTTTTACTGTAACTTTTTAATGTTTACATTTTTCTGCCCAGTGTTACAAACTACTTTGTATTTGGTGGCAGAAATAATCTTGATAAAGCTATCATCTATGCCCGTCACATCTTTTATTATATTAAGATAGATTATTCCTCTATTTTGGTAGTTAATGATGTTTTTTTTTTTAGCTGAATAGTATGTCCTACACTGGATTAATGAATCCGCTCAAGCTTAAAGTCCCTAAAATAATAACCCATCAACTTTTTTTACCCCTTGAATGAAATGAGTCTTGAGGTGTCAATTTATCTACCTTACCAGATGCAGACAAATTCTTAACATCCTGTCACTGCCTGCATCCGCTTCACAATCCTGCAATGCTTCTATATTCCACCAGGTGGTGCTGTTTCACTGTTATTACATCTAAGTACTCATTGTGAATCCTATGTACAGTGCACAGAACTGCAAAGTTGAAAGCATAGCTACTGTGGTTCATAGGGATATGGAAGTAGATGGATTTAGGTATTTGTAACCCCTTTCCTATGCTGTTGTCTTGGATGACAGCTGACTGGTTCATGATATCTGAGAAAGACTTCTGACTGTGAGATACAATCACCAGGCCTTGGAGGAATATTCTGTGAAAAGCTCTTTGACTCCCCACCTTTGTACTTTTGAAACTCTTTGTACCTAAAACTGTGGAGCGTTATCATTTTTATGTGAAAATAAATTTTCTCAGTATTCTTGTTTTTTCTTTTCTTGAAATGCTTCATGATAATGATTTAGCCCCAGCATAAATGCACGATATCTAACCCACCCTGCCGAGAGTAGAGCTCTTTATTAAAAACAACATAAAAATGCAGGAGGTACAGAAAATATAAAAGCTGCCAAATTTTCTCTGTATAACTTGCTATTAATTTTACATGTCTTCATTTTGGGGAAAAATTAATTCAATTATGAAGTAAACAGAGATTGATGGATTTCACTCATTAGGCATTTTACTTTACTTTGCAAGTAAAATCAGAACAAGACAACATACAGCCCTCCCAGCATGATGTCCAGCCCTGTTGTAATCTAGGCAGTTTGTCTTCCTTACTTGAAATGCTGTGAAGGTTGTGTCAAAGTAAAAACAAATTACAGACACTTAAACAGCAACATGTTATGGGAATAGTGTCTTGTCCCAAGCATCCAATAAGATAAAAATCAACTTTTTCTTAAACATTTTGTGGCCTTGCAGCTCTGAGGCCTGAATGAATGAAAGTCAGCACTTATAACCAATATTAAAAAAAAGGAATTCCCAGCATAGTCTGAAAAAAAAAATATTCAAGCTAAGATTGTTATGCTGAAGGAGAGCAGCAAAGGGAATCCAAATCATAAGGCTCAAAATTAAACTGACTAAATAAATGAGAACCCATTCAAAGCATTTGGTCATATTTTGTATTCCTTAATCTATTCCAGTATCTCCACAAGATGAAACTGATGTAGATCAAATACAAACTGTTTTAAACCTTTTGTGCTGTTTTCCCACTTATGAAAAAAAAAAAACATTTAGGATTAGAATATTAAGATACATTTATGAATACAGTTGAAAATAGGTTAAATATGTGCTTATTATTTGAAGGCATTTTCCCATCTGACAGATGAGCTTAATTGCATATCCTAATTTATTAGATGACTATAGCTCATCACCTGCATAAAAAAAACAGGTCATGGTACATAGTAAAAAAAAACAGTGTCACTTTAACACCTACAGAGTTGAATATAACTGTTTTAGATAACATTTGGTCCTATTCAAAATGAGTGTAAATTTGACTCTGAGTTTTAGTGTCAAAATCAAGAAGAACTCTCAGAGACTGGCAAGTAATCAACACCCTATAGAGTAAAAGTTACACTGCATGGCTGTCACATTTTACACTGATTATTAACTCCAACACTTGAGCTGATTTGCACTCTGGATAGTTGTAAATCCTTCATTTAGAGTTAAAGGTACACTATGCAACCGGTGTTGATTTTCCAGCGAGGCTCCCCCCAGAGGGCGAAAGTAAAAGTGCACTGTCGTAAACATGCACGGCTGTTCTCCTGGTTTCTCCGTCAAGCCAGGCGCGGTTGTTTTGAGCTTAGCAGCGAATGACTAATGCTGCGTTCACACCGGGGGCAGCTGGCGCGACAGCAGCAGCGACTTTACATGCAAAGTCAATGGTTGACGCGCGTCAAGGCGCAGCAAAAGGTCCCGCGGCGCGTTTTGAGCTGCAGGCGCAGCACGTCTGAGCAGCTGAAGCAGCGCGTCGGGCGTCGGGCTAAGCATCTGACGCAGGGAGAGAGACACAGCGCTGATGATCAATCCTCTTTTATTGACGCCTAAATTAATTTAAAATGCAGAAATCTGCCGGCAGAATATGCAGTTTGGATTATTTAGATGAAAAACACCTACCAGCTGCCGTGGTGAACTGCGAGGAGGCAACCCGGCCAGAGGCTGCTGATGAAGGGATCCCTACTTTCGGCGCATCCCTGGTATGTGGGGGTCTGAGCGGCTCCGACAGAAAAAATATTGAAGGCAGGATAATAATCTGAATGAACTGACGGCACTGATTACGTTTTCAGGTGTATTTTCTCACTTAAACACATGTTAAAACTACTTTATTCCCACTGATCACAGCAAATATAGCTGCAAGGCAGAGAAAGGATAGTGAAGCTCCGCCCAACGCGCCTCAGACACACTTTTGCACGCGCAGCCAGAGCACAAAGCTGTTTCAGCCGAGTCAGAACTAACTGGTACAAGCAGCAAAAAGGAAGCAGCAGATGTGATTTTGCTGCTTTTGCTGCGTGAACGTAGCATAACTGCACAAAGATCGCCACTGTGCTAGCAACGAGCATGCTTTTAACTGGGGGGTGTAGCAGTTCTCGCCGTAAAGCAAGACTGACTCTGACGAGACTTCTGAGCCTGTGGGTGCGGGTCGGTGCTCCTGCAGTTGCAAGTGCGGTATTTCCCCCACAGACCACCAGGGCGGCCGAGAATACCTTTGTTCAACCTGAAATGACTAATTTAATCATCCATAACGTTATGGAACACATTAATTAACTGAAAAATGTTGCATAGTGTGCCTTTAAATAGGTTTACTCTGAGCTTTTAACACCCAATCTTTTACCTGCAGGTTTTTTCTTTTTGTTTTGCTCTTTTTAAAAATTGTAAGATTTTTAAATCTGCAAGATTAAATACCACCCCTGCAAAAAAGAAAAGAGCTCCCACATGTGTGACATCATATTGCGCAAAACCAATTCAGTTCTTTTGATTTAGTTTTTCTTTTATATTGACTTCTATTTTACCTCTGTTTTCATAGCCAATTCTTGTGCATTTATTTGATTACTGTGGCTGTTTGGCTATGTTGTTTTGATGCCATCCACCCAAGTCAACCAAAACAGATTTCAGTTTTAATTAATTTTTTTTTTCTTATTTTCTTTTTGAGAGGACTTGATTCATTTTGAGATCGTGCAGAAGCAATACTTAATCATACTCTTATGTTTTTATTGGTTTGCATTGGATAGTCTTAAAAAAACACTCAGATATGAGTATAGAAATGTCAAGTTCTTGGTAAGCAATATAAAACATTTGATTTTGCTGCAGCATTTCACAGCTTTCAAGGCCTCCCTATATGCATTGCTGACAGAGAGTGGGTGAGTTGGGTAAAGGAACGAAGCAGTTTTATTATTATAAACAAACATCTGCAATATATCAAAGGAAACGTGAGAAAACTGTGTTTAAAGAATTATTTAAGAATTAATTAGCCTCCATGCACATGGATTGATTATTTACTTATAGGCTGCTTGATCAACTGACTAGATCTCCTAAATATCTAATAATCTACAGCTGAAAACATTGAGCCTGTGTCATCAGGGTCATGGGAACCACAAAACATGCTTGAGAGGCGCTTAGTCACATCAGATAAGCTGGAACTTAGTCATCTTTTTTAAAAATGTGTTAAATTTGTATGAAAGCTATTCTTTAAAAGCGTTTA